CAGGTGGTCGGCAAGACATGGGGTAACGCCGTGCCTCGCAGGTGGAGGTGAAGTCCCTGGGGAGGGTCGGAGCTGAGGGTTTGCATTGCTGCTGAAACAGGGAGCTGCACACGGGTGGTCTCCCAGACCACTTACAGACGTGAAGGCAGGTCTAGTGCTAGCGCGGGGGCTGGTGCAGAACCCCATCCAGGCTGTGCCACATGCAGCGCAGGAGGGAATGGGATCTGGGAGCAGAGCGGATGAGAAGGGTGGATTTTTTGAGTAGTGTGGAAGAAGCCCAGGAAAGCCCAGCATCCATGTTTTTTGGAGCCCGATAGATGCTGGTGGCTTTCCCTGGTCGCCCTGTGGGCATGTGAAAGATGGGGGTGATGAGTTGCTGTGCTCCCCCCACAGTATGTATGTCTTACACATAGCACCGTTAAAAAATAATCATCATAAAAAAAGGAAGCCAGAAAAAAACAGCTGTGGTTGGAGAAACACTTGCTTAAATTGTGGCAAGTGTCTGCACAGCCTTGACCCAAACCTGCCAGCAGAGAGGTGGGGATGTGTGGGCTGGGGAGTAAAAATTTCTGAACAAAAGCAAAAATAGAAGCGGCATGGTCACAGGGCAGAGGAGCTTTTCTGCCGCGTCAGACTCCGCTGATGGGGCTGAGCGATGATGGAGGGAGCAGGAGGAAACTCTGATGACCCAGCGGCCGCATGTGCTTGGCCCAACCAGGGTTTCCACCAGCCATGCTCACATCTCCAGCTGAGGAGAGGAGGGTGTCAGCGCCCGGCCAGCACCATGGCAGCCGCCCACACGTAACCAGTGGGTTATGGTAGGGGACCCGCTTGGATGGTGGTCGCTGTCTCTTGCTTGAGGGTGTCACAGTGAGGAGGAAGGGAACCCATGAATCCTAGAGGCAAATGGGTCTAGGTCAGGGCCGCGCAGTTAAATTAACAATTTTACTAAACTGGGTCCTTCGTCTTCTGCCCTGCCAGGCCAGCGAGGAGCCGGTGTATCTGCCTTGTGCCACTGTCTGCAGCAGGGAAGGGAAGGCAAACTGCACGAGGCTGGCGTCACCTGCTGCGAGCAATGCTTGCAGGAGTCCAGAAGGTCTGGTGTGTTTGGGACCACCAGCACCGTGCACAAGTCACCTGGCCCTGAAGTCTGGATGGCCCTGAGCCACATCCGTTCTGCAGGCAGCGTTTCTTAATTTCTACCAGGAGAGGGGGACGCGGTTCTTCTGTTTCCCTTTGGTTTGTTTTTATGATCCAGTTTAATGCTGCAGATGGGAATCAGCCCTCGGTTTTATTTCCCAGACGAGGGCAATCAGGAGCGAAACTTTGTGCCGCTGAACCCGGGCAGTGCTAGTGTGCCGCGTGTCCCTGCGGACATGGCCTCATCCCCAGGAGTGTCCCCGTGCCCCTGCATGGCGTTTCCCAGCAGAGCTGGTGTCGCTGGCACAGGCTTTGCAGGGATTGTGGGTCCCTGAGGGGATGCAGTCCAAGTCAGGGATTTTTTTAGTCCCAGATGTGGTTAAAAGTTGGGTGTTTGTCTTCTCCTCGGAGGTTGGGGTGAAGCTCAGGCTGTCCGGGACCGCAGGGAGCAGTGGCAGGCTCGGCGATGTGTGGTAGACTTCTTGCGTTAGGTTGCAAAAGGCTCTGATAGCTACTGTACAGCAGCAGAACTGCTGTGGCTTTTGACTTGGGCAGTCCCAGAGCACACTGCATTCCTGGAGGAACGCAAAGCGTTCCCTAAGGAAAATTCTTTCTCGTGGTTGTCAGTCGTTACTGTGATGCTGGCTTGAGAGAAGGCAGGGAACAAAGACTATGAGTGAGCTGAGTGTTTATTACGTGGTCTGGTTCTTCCCCAAGTTCTGGACTTTCCTGATTTGTCAGGAGAAAGGATATTCTTTTTAATTAGACTGTGGGAGTTGTGGCTTCTGCAGGGTTGGCTGTGTTGTAGTCCTGACTGCAGCTGGGCAGAAGCTGGAGCCCAAGTACAGATAGTTGATTAAGGCAGATTCCAGAAATGCCCATGCTTTACTGAAGATGATGAGACTTCGCTTCTTTGGGATGTAGAAATGGTGGTGATAAGGAACGTCTGAAGGTCTCTAGTCCAACCCCTATTTGGAACAGGACCGTACCCAGCCCTAGGTTAGGTCAGTTATGGCTTTATCAAAGTAAGCCTTGGAAACCTCAAGGGAAGGACATCCCCACCTCTCTGGATATCTTCCAGTGCTGCACCACCTTCCTAGTAAAGAGTTTTTATCTTAATGTCCAGTTTGAACCTCCTAAGCTGCAAGTCATGGCTGTTTCCCGTTGTTACACCAGCTGTTACTTTAGGTGAGGAAACTGCTGCATCAAAGAGGTGATAGGAATTTTTTAGTGTTGTGTGCAGCATCAGATTGCTCTCTGAACTGCCAGGAGTGGGCATTGAAGTGGCAGCTTCTGGCTTCTGCCTGAGCTCTGCAGAAAGGCTCAGGAGCAGAGCATGGGGTGTTGGTTGCTTTTGTGATTCTTATGTTCCCTTGGGCTTCTTTGTCCTGTTCAGGCTTGCATCAGATCTCACAGAACAAGGTGGCAGTGCTGCTCCTGGCTGGAGGACAAGGAACTCGCCTGGGAGTGAGCTATCCCAAGGGCATGTACAATGTAGGGTTGCCCAGTGGCAAGACCTTGTATCAGATCCAAGCAGAAAGAATCCGTAAAGTGGAACAGCTCGCTGGCCAGAGACACCGCTGCAAGTGTGCCATCCCCTGGTAGGTGACCTGGAGCCACAGACCTACTGTGCAGGCGTCTTTGTGTTGCAGTCTTGCCTATGTGTCTTCTAGAAGCACTTTGCTGGGTGCCGTACAGAGACAGTCAGGGGAGAGCCTTTTGTCGGCAGGATTTGCGATGCCAGCAGCTGGAGGAGGGTGCGCAGGATGGGAAGTGGCAGGTCTGTGTCTGCAGACCTGAGGGACCAAGCACTGCCCTTGAATCATAAACCAGTACCCTAACTGCTGTACCATGCTGTCTTTTTCAGGCACACTCCCTGACAACACTATAAACAGCACTTTTCAGTGCCTGTTTCAGGTCCTTCACAAGAGATTTCATCCGTTTGTGCTGTGCTTTCTCAGGTTCCTGCATGGAGGGAGAGACTGCTTAGAGCTCCCTTCCAAGACCCTCGGCCTCCCCTTGCCCGCAATTTCTGCCACAGCAAAAAAAGTCTTCCCCTCGCACTAGTAAATGCTTGTCATGCTCCGCTTTCAGGCCACCTCCTGCTGTCGTCGTTTACAGCTGGCTACTCCTAGCTTTCAAAAGCCTCCAGGCTTCAAAAGAGACTAGCTCTGTGCAAGGTGCAAAATATGAATTCCCTATGGGATGTGGGTGAGAGAGAGGAAGGCACTGCGGCACGCTTCTGGGAATGTTTTCTGCTAAATGTTCTTCGTTACACCATGAAGAGATACCTTTATGACATCACTGCCTGGTCTGAGCCAGGGTTAGGGAAGAGCGCATGCCGCAGGATACTGTAGTGTCTCTTATTTAACACTCTTGGGTTTCCTCCCTTTTGTGTTCCATTTGTAGTTTTGTCTTTTGCTTTTACTGTTCTTGCGCGTTGCTCAGCACCCGTTCCTACCCAGGTACATCATGACAAGTGAGTTCACGCTGGGGCCGACAGAGGAGTTCTTTGTAGAACATGACTACTTCAACCTGGATAGATCCAACGTGGTCATGTTTGAACAGAGGATGCTGCCCGCTGTCACCTTTGATGGGAAGGCCATCCTGGAGGAGAAGGGGAAAATTGCTATGGCTCCAGGTACGCCGCCCTTCACCCTTACATGGTACAGTAATGTAGTATGTGTTGATAATTGCTACTAGCCATCAGCCAGCCTTGGCACACGGAGCAGTCTTTGGAGGTCAATGTTAATGCTTCTGATTAGCATGGGAGGGTTCAGTTAAATGTTTCAGGCTGGTAATCAAGAGTGTAGCCATCTCTGTTTAGTTCTTGCTGGAGATTTGGCCACAGCACATGGTTTTTATCAAAGCCTGGGAGTATTGGCAGGATTAGGAGTGGGGCAGCTGCAGTTTAGGAACAACGTGCATCGACAGGGCTGTGTGTGAGGTCCCTGGTGTGCTGCCTTCCAGGCGTGAAGCTGTTGGGAGCTGTGCTCCCATTCGAGGCTGATAGCTGGAGATGGGTAAAAAAGCAGCAAGAAGATTAACTCTTTCCAAAATGATTGCAATGTCTCACCTAGTAAAGTTCTCCTTTTCTCTTAACCTGGACATCGTAAGAAAAACTCGGTGAAGGCAGCCTGATCAGGACTTTGTTGCAGTGATGCGGTTTTGCAGCTGCAGAATGGTTTTCCTGAGCTGACAGGGGTGTCAAAGGAGGAACCATGAAAGGGTGATCCGTGATGAACAAATGTGCAGGTGTCTTTTGTGCAGCTGCAGTTCAAGCCTTTAAAAAGGCATTGGGAAGTTGTGGGGGGAAGGTAAACAGAGAATAAGGTTTATTTAAAACTCAGCGTAGAGAAAAAGACTAAAATATGCTTTTGCTCTGCGCAAAAGAGAAGAAATGTAACAGGCTTTTCCCACCCTCTGCATAATGTTTTGCCCTTTAGTGTTTTCCCTCTGAGGATCTTCAGGCTTCAGAAAGTCTTGTAATGCTTCTCTGTGAGGCTGATCCCCATGGTCCCACTCTGCAGGTGAGGGAGCTGGTGTGTGGAGGGGAACAGGCTTGCCTGAACTCTGTGGCAGAGCTGGAAATAAAATCTGGTAGCACTGACTCTTGGCTAAAAAACATTCCCTGTTCTGCTGTTAAAGAAAGCTTGTTCAGGACTTTCAACTTTTGCTCTGTTAGCCATAAAAAACCTGCAAAGTCACTAATTAACCAGGGCTTTCTCTTTTCTCTTGCATTATAGATGGCAATGGTGGCTTATACCGTGCTTTGGTGGATAATAAGATCTTGGACGACATGAAGCAGCGTGGAATCCAGTATGTCCATGTATACTGTGTGGACAATATCCTTGTGAAAATGGCAGATCCAGTCTTCATAGGCTTCTGTGTTTCCAAGGGGGCAGACTGTGGTGCAAAGGTGAGGCCGTGCTAATGCTGGGCCATTTTAGCACAGGGAGTTAAGGTCTGATTACGCTTGGAAGCTGCTGGTTAGGGTGAGTTTAGATGAACCGGGGTGTTCAGACTTCTGCTCAACAGCGGCTCGCTCCAAGCAGAGGAGCTGCTTGCTGCCTGCGTTGCATTCAGAATCCCTACCTGTGGGTGTCCTCCTACCCTCTTCCCAGAGTACTGTGGAAAATAAACTTCAGTTACAGCAGGGACTGTAACTGCACAGGAAGCTACAAACTGGAATTGCTTCCTCTTTATGCTCTGCCCTTTCTACAAAGGCACTTGGGCTATCTAGAAGCCGTATTGGACTGGTTGTGTTTTATAAATGCACCTTTAAGTCTAATGGAGGCATTCCTTACACGCCACTGTGGAAGATGGGGAAAGCCAAACCAGCCTGGTTTTGTCACCCTAAAGCAGCAGGTGCCTGAGGAGAGATTTATATTACTTTAATCATTAACACTGTGCGTGCAAACAGGGAGCTGAAGGCTAATAGCTGCAAAAATTTTTCACTTAATGCCAGGTCCCGGTCCTGGCTAAGAAAAGTGCCCCATGGTATGCCGATTTCTTTTAACTGGTTTGTCTTCTGAGCAACTTGCAATTAAGTGGTCGAGTACTGGGTTTTACGCCCAGTTGTTGGGCAAAATGTGCCTCCAGGCTACTCCGTACACCTAGGACTGCCCTGCCCTGCTCACTTAATGCCAGGTCCCGGTCCTGGCTAAGAAAAGTGCCCCATGGTATGCCGATTTCTTTTAACTGGTTTGTCTTCTGAGCAACTTGCAATTAAGTGGTCGAGTACTGGGTTTTACGCCCAGTTGTTGGGCAAAATGTGCCTCCAGGCTATCCGTACACCTAGGACTGCCCTGCCCGTGCTCCTGAGGTGCTGGAGGATCAGTGTGCAACAGTCCTGTAGGATCGTTTGTATGTGGGAGTTGGAATGGTGCTGGGGTTTTCTTCCTCCTTGTCATAGCCCTCTGTCCTGTGGCTGCAGGTGGTGGAGAAGGCCTACCCCACAGAGCCTGTTGGGGTGGTGTGCTGTGTGGATGGGGTCTACCAGGTGGTGGAGTATAGTGAGATCAGCCTGGAGACTGCGCAGCAGCAAAGCCCTGATGGGGGACTGATGTACAGCACTGGCAATATCTGCAACCATTTCTTCACAGTTGAGTTCCTGCAGATGGTGGCCCAGTAAGTTCCAGCAGACGTGCTAGGCAGCTGTGCAGCCCAGCTAAATGCCTCCAAGAATGGGTGTTCCCAGTTCCCATTCTGTTGTTTCAGTTATGGGTACCTCTTGCTCTGCTCTTCACCTCCTCTCTCCTCCAAACTGTTCAAAACAGCTGTGTCCACTTTCTGACAGCCGTAGCGTACTCTTCAGCCCTTACCCAATGAAGAGGTTGCATGCTTTGCTGTAGCTAAATCGACCGAGATATACGAGTCCATGACCTTCCTGGGCCTACAAGGGTGAGCAGCCACGTGGGCCGCAGCGTGGTCAGTGATGTGATACAGCCCCACACTGTATCACTGCTGCAGATGGCAGTGATGCAGCCCCACACTGAGGATTTTCAATGGGAATGTCACCCATGCCATCCCTTGGGGCAACAGAAGTTGGGGGAGAGGGTGAGGCTGGGGGGGGACTCTGCATCTTGGTGTTGAGAGATGGGGATGTGATGCTGGGCATTCAATGAGCAGCCATACGACCTTCCTGAAGAGCTTGATCCACCCTTCTGTGAGGGATCTGCTCTGCTCCATTGTCACCAGGGTCAGATAACAATTTGGGTTACCTTTTTTTATCTCTGCCTGCAATTTCAGCTCGACACTAGGTCCTCCCTCTCCTCTTGCTTTACCCTGTTATGTCCCACTGGTGCAGGGAGTGCCGCTGGCTGGGCTGCTCTGCTCAGTGAAGTGTTTCCTGGATGAGACTTGGATCAATTTGGAGAAAGCAACACCCACAACACCTGAGAGATGACCCAGAGCAGTAATAAGCCATCTGCTTCCCAGAAGTGTACTACTTTTTCAAAGTGGGCATGAAGTAAATGAACTTGTTTCTTGTCCTTTTGCAGAAAATATGAGCCGCAGCTGAGGCATCACGTAGCCATAAAGAAGGTGCCCTACATTGACGAGGAGGGAAATCTGGTAAAACCGCTAAAACCGAACGGGATAAAGCTGGAGAAGTTTGTGTTTGATGTGTTCCAGTTCTCTAAGTTAGTGGCAGACATGATTTTGTTTTTTTCCTCCCTTTCTCAATGTTTGTGTGAATGACTGTAGGTTGTAACAGGCCTTGCCAGGGAGCGTGTGGTTTGTGGGTGGCTTGTTAGAAAGGCTGTTGGATCTACACCAAGTTCCACAACAGTAACGCCGCAGGCTCCGAGAGGTGCGGTCACAGGGTGCTCGGCAGCAGCCAGGCTTGCTCTGACCGTGCTCCCAGAACTGTTTGTTCCACCGAGGATGTGTTGGCTGGCCCGGCCTCTGCCAGCCCTGTGACAGAAAGACAAAAAAGGAAATCCGGTGCAAAGCCAATATTTAATACAAGCCTATGTTGGACTCGCAAAAATCGGGTCTTTCAGGATTGTGGCTTCCATGGCAACTGCAGCTCTGGTTACGTTTTTGGTGCGTGTTATGCCAGGGCTCAGCTCACACCCTTTGCGCTCGGAAAACAGGTTGCTTAAGCACCGTGGGGCCAAGTTACTGTTGCTGTGGGAACTGTCAGTGTTGACTTGCCAAGCTCTAAAACATAGCTGAGAGCGCTGTGCCATAGTGTTAGCACAGTCAGGGGTACTTTGGGTTTACGGAATGTGGGATTTTAATAATTTAGGAATTTAGCGTAAGTGTTCTTATAAAACCTATTTTCTGAGGTCTCGAATTCAGCAAAGATTCTGTTTCAGCCTTAAATAAATGGCAAAAAGAGACCTCAGGCAAACTGAATTATCTTCGTTTGGGGATAGTATTTTTATTTTTGGAGGGTTTACTTTAGGATAGAGAGCTCAATGTTTGAACCGGTCTCCGTTTCCTGACATGCGTAGTATGTCAGGAAGTATCATACCAAAGGCAAAACCAGTGTGATGATGCAGAGTTCTGAGCTTTGAAAGGACTCATTTGCAAGCAGTGATTCCTTGTGCTTTTTTAATAATACTGCAGAACCAGCTTGGCAGCTGCTCTTCACACATGAAATGCAGAAACACACAGATGCTGCTGTGGAATTTTTTAATTTGCATTCCCATTTCTGGTAAACAGCTGTACTTAACAGTCAACTGTGAATCCTCCCATATTGCTTATTCAACCCTGGGAACTGGTGTCCTCAGTTGATCCTTGCCTACGGACTCCCAAGTGGAGTGGCCATTTCTTGGAGCAGGGGTGTGGTGCTCTGAAGTGAGCCGCACAGCTCGGTGCTGTGTCCGAGCTTCAGGCATCGCTGCTCTCTCCATCCTGCCGTGCTCTTAGCTGGGACTTTTTGTCCATGAGCCTTCTAGTGCCTGTAGAGGCTTCTGTGGGATCTCTCCAGAACTTTGCTTTTCCTGTCACCTGTGCACAGCTCTGAGGGGTCGTGAAGCTGCTGTTTTGTTCCCAAGGAGACTGGGCTTCTTGTTGTCTTTTTCTATCATACAGTCCTGGTACTTCTTTGCTCTTCAGATGGGAGGTGGGCTTTCCTTAGCTTGACTGCACTAGGCTGCATACATTGCTGATCCCTAAAATACATATGAGCCTTTCCCCAGGAAAGTTGTTGTTATATCAACAGGCTGAGGGCTAGCTTTGTTTTTCATTATCATTGTTTTCTCCCCTTTGCTGGTAGGAATTTTGTGGCATTTGAAGTTTTGAGAGAAGAGGAGTTCTCACCACTAAAAAATGCAGACACAGCTGACAAAGACACTCCTACCACTGCTCGGCAAGCCCTCCTGGCCCAGCATTACCGCTGGGCTCTCAAGGCTGGGGCCAGATTTCTGGATGAAAATGGTTGCAGGATACCAGAAAAACTCAGGTACGAACCTCTCTGACCTTCTCCGCAGCTTCTCTGCCTGTGGCTGCCCAACCATGCCAGCTAGCTAATGGCATGTACTGTGCTCTACAAAACCAGGCGTTGGTTTGATCACAGGGTGACTCAGCATGATTTTCGTTCAGCTGGTCTTTTCTGAACATGTAGAGTAATGTCTATTACAGCTCCTGCTCCATTAGTGATTGTGAGTGCTCTAGACAGTAATGCATAGTGCTCTCGGCTTTATCTCTGGCAGAGATTCCTGCTTTTGAGGTTGTGAGTTGACTCCTCCTGTAGTAACTCATTAGGCAGGGGCAACATTTTCCATCATTCTAGATTTAGCCAGCCCAAGGAATTGTTATTTGTAGTCCTCACCAGCTTTTCTGAATATGGCCCTAGTGCTTAAAGCCCAGCAAGATTCTTAGGTGGGCTTAAGGATCAGCTATTATAGCAATTACCAATTCAGATACTTCCTGCATCACGGTGAATGGGAAGCTGCTTTTACTCAGTGGGGCTATTACTTCATCAACTCGTAGTTTAATAAAGCCATAAGCTGTTCTTTTTGCTTGAAAAGCCCCTCTATAAAAGCGATCTTCTTGTTTTGATGAGAAATATTTGGGACCTGCTAATCCCCTTTTATTTTCACACTTTGTGTTCGAATAATGTCTGCTGCATGTGAACATAACAAATGTCTTATCCTTCTGGATATCCTGTTCTTGACGATCTTTCGAAGAAGATGCACTGGTTTTTAAGCATAGCAAGAAGTTAATCCTCTTGTGTTCTCTTCTTTAGTCTCTCAGGAACTGAAGATCCTCCGGCTGTGTGTGAGATTTCTCCGTTAGTGTCTTACTTTGGAGAGGTGAGAACAACTATCTATGGAGGTATTTTTAAGAGTGTGCAGGTATGCATCTGATTTCCTTCCAAACACAGGGGATTTCTTTAGCTTAGGCTTGCTGAGAAATGGTAGGATTAAGGGAACTAGGACTTGGGCTCTGTGTTACATTTGTGGTTCCACTGTGGTTTACTCTTCAGCAGTTTGTTCACTCTCTGTAAAATGAGATCTGCAACAAGGCTGCACAGTTTCATTTAGACTCACAAGTACTTTGAGATCTTCTGAATGAAAAGTGCAGAATATTCAAATTACAAAAGCCATGGGGTCGCTGTATTCGGTTGTGTGCTAATTTGTGCCTGTCTCCCACAGTGAGTGAATACTGAATGAGAAGTGTGATATGTGCATTGCCTTTAGAGAAACCACGTCTTAGAACAGATTTCTCAAGTTTGTCCCTCTGAAAATAATTGGTCTTGGGAAAGCTGCTTCCATTTAGTAGTGAGAAGAGGAGCTTCCCTGTGTTGTACAGACAGGGTGAGAAATAGCGGGTTGCAGGAGGATATGTGGGCACTGTGGGGAAGGGCGTTCATAAAACTTTACATCTTTGCTAGGTTTCTGCGTGCAGGTAGCGAACTTATCACAGTCAATGTGTTGTAAGAACAAAATGAAAACAAGGCAATTTAAGTTGACTTTTCTATGTTAGGTTTATTCTAATGTGAGTTAAGGACACACCTTCCCATGCTTGCCCCTCCCCAGGAAGCTTGTTTCTGAGATCCATTGTTTTACGGTTCATTGGTGCTTCTCCTTCGTAAACCCCAGGCTTTTCATCTCGGTCGCTGGGGAAACTGTTGCTGTTGTCTGTCCTTCCCATGACTTTTTAACTTCGGGTAGTCAGTCATTCTTTGAGGACATTACACAGACTTAAAAATAGTGCAGGTAACCAGTCTGATGCATTTACGACCTAATGGTACTATTTTCATACATTCTCAGGGTCTGGAGGCGTACATGAAGAACAAAGACTTCTCTTCTCCCTTTGTACTTGATGAAAGCAAAGGGGAAATGCTACAAAATTCTTGAAAAGGAGAGAGGCCTTTCTGCCTCAAATCAGATATCTGTCTGTCAGATCCATTATAAGAACTGACATTACTCAAATGTCAGTGTGAAGTGCATTATAAAAGAAATTGCTTTGTAGTATCGGATTGATGCCAAATCCTTGCAGCAGTTGTGTTTACACACACGTACGTGCTCACCAGTTCTGTTTGGTAACTTTGAAGGCTATGCCTTTTACCTCAGTCTGTTTTGTAAACTTGGATGTGAATGAAGATTAATACCTTCCGGGTACCAAACAGATTTTATGTTTCTTATTTGCTGTGCATATGAATACGTAAAAGAGCCAGTCAGGGCCTAATAAATCAGCTTTGCATTCAAGAAGATTAAACCTCTTCGGTGCCTTGTTAGGTATCTTGTTTGTGCTGGTGGGGTTGGGTTGGTTGTTTTTGGTTTTGTTTTTAAATTGTGTGCACAGCTGAAGAATCAGTTTGATCCGTCTTTTCCCTAATCCTGTGCTGGTTAGAAGATCCAATTCAGCAATTGCATCCTCTAACCAGATCATACAGAGGAGTCTGCTGTAGGTAGGGATGCTGCTGTGCGTAAGCATTGCTTGAGGTTTGGACTCCAAAGCAGAACAGACTAGTTTGCATATCTAGGCTCACTGGTGCCATTCCAAGAAAATGTAAGTAAATATGCAGTTTAGACTGATTGCTCTTTACAGCTGTAGTGACCTGATTTTTTTAATTAAAAAAAAAGAAAAAGATGATGAGATATTTTTTCACAACAACCCTCTGCTCTTCCTGTCTATAACAAACACTTATTTTACTTTTCATTTTTCTGTTTAATGTATACCATATCCCTGAAAGGGAACTCTTTTAAAGTACCTGAAAGTAGTAAGAGGAACAAATCCTGATGGTAGAATTTAATGTTTAACCAAAACCAAAAAGACTTAATCCCAGCATAACCAGTGTACACAGTAAAACACCAGCCTCTGCTTCTACAGTTTGTGGCTAGGTAGTTTTCCAGCACACTTTCACTTACGAAATAGTTCTTTAGATGCCTTCCTTTTAAATATATTACTAACCGTAATGTAAAGATAAATGTCAGCTAATTAAGGATGCTAATTGCCAGAACATAGGTAGCATGTGAACTCAGCCCTGGCTGAGGGATCCCAGGGTGGCTGCGATCCAGAAATGATTGTTCCTGTTCAGCCTTTGGACGCTGCCCCGGCAAGCTTGTGCCGGGCGGGCACCTGCCTGCTACAGAACGTGTGTGGAACACACCAAAGTCGTTTCACCCTTTGTGAGGATGCTTCAGGTGCACTGCTGGGTGGCCTTTGCTTGAGGAGCACTCTATGCTTTTCCCCTAAATTGGGTGTTAAGGAAGGTGGCAAGGAAGATGCCTCATCTGGAATGTTATTATTTCATGCATCTGCTTCTACTGAGGAATTGCTGATGCTATTTTATTAAGCATAAATCTTTTAAAAAACTTATGTGGCTTTCTGTAATTCCTGATGTGAAGCTGTATTCAGAATGTTGGGGAAGTATAAAAATGGCTTTGAGAGTAAATACAGTTTGTAAGTAGGCTCATGTTTTCCAAAGAAAGCATCTAAATGTCAATGGCAGAGTTTTCAGGTATAAAGTGTTTCTGCCTGCACATAAGTAATGAGTCTTCTGCACATGCAAACCAGCCAATGACAGTTCTGATTACCTCATTTTGCATGTGCAGCCAGTAATTCCCATTTTTAGTATAAATTAAGCATTTGTCCTTGACAGTCAATTCTGTAATCTTTTTCACACAGTGTTTCTAGGGGTCATTGCATTCCTGTCAGTCAAGTTTTTTATCCGAGAACAAATTGTGTTGTATCTTTGTGAGTATTGCTTGCCAATTCAGGCACATGCTCATTTTAAATTGCACTGTGCTATAAAGAAAGGATATTTCTTTTGCTCTTTCTAAAGTGCTTTGTCTTTTGAAACTTTAGTTCCTGTGTGCTTTAATCGTGTGTACACTGAGCTGCTGACATGGCTTTTAGAAGTTGTTTTCAAGGAGAATTAGAATGCTAAATGCCTTGTCTGATGGTTTTTTTTTTTCCTATGACTCCTCACATTTTAAACTGGAACATAGAAAGAATTTTGAGAGAACTTTAAAAAAAAAACCAAACACTGTCCTGTATGTAACAAAGTAATTCTAGTATGCATTATGAAATGAAAAAAGTACCTGAAACAAAGGGAGGTCCTGTAGGACTCCAGAAACTTTTGGACACCTAAGCATTTTTATAATAAAGATGTTTACTGTGATTTCTATGTGTCTGTCTGTGTTTCTTGTTCATGAGGAAAATACTCTTGTTGTCTTTGTCCCTACACATCATGGGTGTTGTCACCACAACTGCAGGACATTGGGACAGTGTCATTGATGGCGTGGCTGGAGGCTGCAGTGCCCACGCTTCAGATGTACAGGGGGATGTGGAACTTGGCAAAGGGTAATTCCTGAGGGGATTTGACATTGTGGGATGTATTTTTTCATCAGAAAACAGAAGACACTGTTCTTGCCTGCAGTCGTGGGTTTGGTTTTTTTTTCCCCCCAAGCTTTTCAACTCTGGTTTACTGAGAGGAGGGTGGTGTGTGTTTTTCTTTTATTTAAAGTAGTTTTGCGTGATCTGGATCTGAGTCAGGCTTTCACAGCTGTTGTGTAGGTAATGAGCACTCACTGTGGTGCAACTTTTGCTTGTCTTCCCATTGACAGGCGCTTTTTAAACAGGGCTCTATTTATAGAACAATCAGTAGGGGAAGTTAGTAATTTTTCACAAATGACAGATTGTCCTCTCTTTTGGGGGTATAGTGCTGAACCCAGCAAAAATCAGAAGTAGATATTCTTCCTTCCTTACCTCTTTCACCCCATGTTTCTCTCTTGGCACCCATATGAAGGCTGCTGGGGTTTTTAATGTGTTTCTAAGATACATGAATCAGTAGTTTCCTGTGATAGGAAAATAAATACCAAAAATGAATGCATGCTTCAGGCTTATGTTAAATTGTTTCTCCACTTGTTTATGGGGAGTGTTCATATATACCAGAATTGTTTGCTTGCTTAGTTTTTTTAATCATGAAATGCTCAGAAAAACACCCAATTTTAGTCTTAGCTGGAAATGTAGTATGAGGTGGATTCCAAATTTAAAGGCTCAAATGATGCATGTTAACTGAATAGTTAGGCACAGCTGAAGGTGTATTTAGTGCCAGCACTTAAAGCAGCTGCTTCAATGCTTTCTTTTTCCTCTTGGACTATGAAGCTAATATAGAAGTAATGGTTATTACAAAACCACAGTCATGTGGCTCTGAGCGCGTACATCACTGAAGAGCTCTCTTCCCTATTCCTCTACGCCCACTGATAACGTCCCTCCTCTGCCTCTCCTCCTTCTCTGAAGATGCAGAGAACTATTTGCACAGGGAGTGACGAAGGGCTGGGGGTCAGTGGAAAAGCAGGTGAGGGAAGGAATTGTGTGGGACAAGTGGATCCTGCCGAGTACCAAAATTCTGTGCTATATCTTGTGGAAGGGTTTATTTACATTACTGCTTAAGTTGCTTTTCACCCACTCACACACATCCTCTCACAGATTTCAGTTGTCTACTCTCAGGCCCATGTTCCCATGTTGTCCGCCCAGGACTCTGTGCGTGTGATGCAGAGAACGAGGGATGCCGGCTGTCAAACGTGTCTCTGGTGTTCTCACTGGCAGGTGATAATGACATTAGACAGCTCTTCTCTGTCCTCTGGGTCTCAGCAGTTGTTTGGGGTTTTCCTTTGCTGTGTTCACCTTCCTGGTGGGCTGGCAGGAGGAGCGATGGTGTCTGTGGTGCATCCTCCTCTTGTCGGGGTGCAGCGTCTTGTGCTGCGCGGCTGGTGCTGTGGCCTTACCAGAGCACGGTTCTCCAAGCTGGATGGGAGCTGCACCTTCCTGAGCTCCATGGATGGGAGC